GTTTCAGTAGAAGCTTTTTTATCTTGTGACGTTAGAAATCATGTAGGTTTCCTAAAATTTCAGCTGTTTAAATTATGCATATCTTGCATTATTATTATTTAACTTCTATAATCCCTGTCTTCTACTCATGTGTACATGCAGTATACATATGTACACACACACACACACACACACACACACACACCCCTTCCATGAAAATAAATGTATGGAAACTACTTGTGCCTTATACTTACTAAATGCATATTCAGAAAGTTAAATGCTGTTTGATCCTATGTAAGTACTCTTTAAAAAACCCACCTAGACCCAGATATTCAATAAACTTCACCTGGTCCACAACTAGTGCCACAATGTAGTCTACCATTATACTTCCGACTCTTTTCTCATTACTGTTTCTGGGAAACCAGGCTAGAAATGCAAGTTGCTGTTTCTAGGGGAGACAAGAGCTATGGCTGCTGCTGTGGGAGCAAACAACGACCAGACAGGACGGCCAAGGCTTTATTCCACAGACCCACACGTGGCTTCTGCAAAGCCAGAACGGGGTGGAGAATGTGAGGCGTGTCTAGGTCCAAGCCTTAATATAAAGGAATTATAATTTTAAAAATATTAACAAATAATCTCCTGATCCCAAGGTTAACAGTGTTATGCCTGTGTTATTTAAATTTCTCATTTATCACATCTTTTTTCAGGTTGATATCAGGAATAAAGCATATTTATCAGGAAGACAAAAATGTAATAAGCAGACATTTCTGCTGATGAAAAATTATTTAGTATTGCAGACACTATATAACAGGTTTCTTATTCTTTTTCTAAAACAAACTTGACTTCTGCTTGTCAACACTAAGCTGTTCCTAATGGTTATTTACATCAACGTTGGCTTTCACGGATACTTCTTTTAAAAGTGCAACAAGAAAGAAACCTAGGAATAATGTTTTAGGAAATGAAAAACCTGGTCTCTTTTTCCTACCATCACATTTTGTGTTTGCTTGGGAAATAAAACTAGAGCAAATATTTCTGTAATCATTAGATAAATACGTCGTGTTAGGGGTAAGAAGCCAAAGGTGATCACTAATAATATTTTTTATAATCATCACCATGATTGGATTTGACAAGGAGGGCAGTCAGTCTAGCTTCTGTGTCTGTGTCATGTGGCAAATGACAACACAAGGGCTTAGGGAAGCCGTGCCTTAAATCTGCCTTAGAGTCACCGAGGAGTGAGTACATGATTCCGCCCTCCCTAGCACACTGCATGGTTCATAGTAAACACTTAATTATTTGTTGAGTCAGTTAATTAATCGATGAATCAAAATTCCAGGTTCACCACTTACTATGTAAACTTCAGCAAGTGACCTCATTTCTTAATGATTAGTCCTTTTCACCCTAAAATATTCATCATAATAGCACCTCATTAAGTTATTGAGAAGGCGATATGAGATAATATATGCACAAACTACTTCACATTGTGCCTGGTGCTAATTCCCAGATCAATAGCTTATTCAGGGTTCTTATTAAACACCAACATCGTTTTGTTTTGTTTTGTTTTAAAAGTATTATCTGCACTTCTTATTTATTCATGGAAAAATTATATTGCAATCATGTAGAGTGAAAATTTAAGGGAAATGTTGACCACAATTAGATGTGCTTAAATGTGAGAGAAACTAAGTTCGATATCACTTGCAAGATCTCAGATACTCTTGCCACTTTTGCTGCTTTCTACCAAATGGGTTGACGCCGAACTAAAGAACAAGGTCAAGTTTGTTATTCATGAAAAGGATTTAGCAATAATTCAAACTTAAATATGCATACCAATGTAAGAGCTATGCAAGAGTCACTGTATCAATTAGTGAAGTTTAAAAAAAAAAAAACCTATTTTATTTAAAAACAAACCCTCTACAATGTTAATGTAATGACTACCTAGATTTAGAAGAACATTTGACTTTGAATGGCAGAAGTGACACCAGCAGATTTTTTTTTTCTTAAATAGTTTAAGTTCTGGGATACATGTGCAGAACATGCAGGTTTGTTACATAGGTATACGTATGTTATGGTGGTTTGCTGCACCCATCAATCTGTCGTCTACATGAGGTATTTCTCCTAATGTTATCCTCCCCCTAGCCTCCCACCGACAGTCCCCAGTGTGTGATGTTCCCCTCCCTGTGTCCATGTGTTCTCATTGTTCAACTCCCACTTATGAGTGAGAACATGTGGTGTTTGGTTTTCTGTTCTGTGTTAGTTTACTGAGAATCATGGTTTCCAGCTTCATCCATGTCCCTGCAAAGGACATGAAGCCATCCATTTTTATGGCTGCATAGTATTCCATGGTGTATATGTGCCACATTTCCTTTATCCTGTCTATCACTGATGGGCATTTGGGTTGGTTCCAAGTCTTTGCTATTGTGAATAGTGCTGCAATGAACATATGTATGCATGTGTCTTTACAGTAGAATGAGTGATGATCCTTTGGTTATATACCCAGTAATGGGATTGCTGGATCAAATGGTATTTCTGGTTCTACAACCTTGCAGAATTGCCACACTGTCTTCCACAATAGTTGAACTAATTTATGCTTTCATCAACAGTGTAAAAGAGTTTCTATTTCTCCACATCCTCTCCAGCATATGTTGTTTCCTGACTTTTTAACATTCGCCATTCTAACTGGCATGAGATGGTATCTCATTTTGGTTTTGATTTGATTTCTCTAGTGACCAGTGATGAACTTTTTTTTTTCATATGTTTTTTGGCCGCATAAATATCTTCTTCCAAGAAGTGTCTGTTCATATCCTGCCCCTTCTTTTTGATGGGATTGTTTTTCTCTTATAAATTTGTTTAGGATACTTTTAGATTCTGGATATTAGCCCTTTGTCAGATGGATAGATTACAAAAATTTTCTCCCATTCTGTAGGTTGCCTATTCACTCTGATGAGAGTTTCTTTTGCTGAGCAGAAGCTTTTTAGTTTAATGAGATCACATTTGTCAGTTTTGGCTTTTGTTGCCATTGCTTTTGGTGTTTTAATCATGAAGCCTTTGCCCATGCCTATGTCCTGAACGATATTGCCTAGATTTTCTTCTAGGGTTTTTATGGTTTTAGGTCTTATGTTTATCTTGAGTTAATATTTGTATAAATTGTGAGGAAGGTGTCCAGTTTAAGTTTTCTGCATATGACTAGCCAGTTTTCCCAACACCATTTATTAAATAGGGACTCCTTTCCCCATTGCTTGTTTTTGTCAGGTTTCTCAAAGTTCAGATGGTTGTAGATGTGTAGTGTTATTTCTGTGACCTCTGTACTATTCCATTGGTCAATTTATGTGTACCAGCACCATGCTGTTTTGACACCAGGAGATATTTTTACAAGTGGTTTTATACCACAGAACTACATAGTTAATTGTATAACTACTTTCAGAGGCAATACTCTATTAGATATCTGCCAGTTTTCTATAGGGAAAATTCTAGACATTTGTATTCAGGAAAAATTTCATTATGGTTTGACTATATATTTTTATTCACAAACCTTTAATAAGTTAACTTTTTTCAACCAATTCTCAGAACAATGAATTAAACTTTAGAATAAGTTTGGATAAATACTTACCAAGGCAGAATGCTATTCGAGTGTTATATCCAATTTACTTGAAATAGAGAAACTGAGTAATTTGAATAAAATGCATAGAATTATAGAGCTTTTTTGATTTTCTGGTTTCATGACATATTATAACATTAAAAAATCAGAGACTACTTCTTTTAGATCTCCCTATTAGCCTCATCATCTCCTGCTGTGGTTATAAATGTACATTTGCTTCACCTGGAGACCGTAGGCACCTTGAAGTTAGGTGCAAATGCTCATTCTCCTTCTGCCTCCCAGGTCAGCATCCTCATATCAGAGTTGTTTACAGCAGTTAAACCTCTACGTTCTTTGCATGTTCCAAGCTTATTTTAAAGTTAATTTTTAGATTTATCCTCTCAAAACTTTAAAGATGCATTTATAATATGTTATAATGAAATATTAATCTATATTATGCAACATTAATAATGTATTTTATGGCAACACTTTGCTATTAGAGGTAGTTTGTTACTTGTAAATATAATATTGTTACATTTTCTTAAAACATTCTATAGTCGATGCCGTTTAACATCAGTCTCTTAAATGTCCTTTTCTATTAATGTTACATTTTTCCTGATTTTCTTTCCATTTCTGTGCCTCTTTCATAAATGACTGCCAAGTGATTAGTTTCTGTTGTTAGACCCATGTGTGCCCACAGCCACTGTGGGGCCAAGGAGTAATGATGATGGGTTGAGACCCGCTGACCCTGCAGCTGCCGGTGAGACTGAGACTCCACAGGAAATGCTGTGTATTTTCAGTGCTGACCAGAAGCTGCACAGCCACCGGCCCTCTCTCTGTGCTCAAATCCCTCACACTTTACTTACAGCTGATTAAGTTTGAAAATAGCTTGGATTATCTATTATGTGCTACGGTAGTGGCATTCATCGCACAGTTTTAGAAGTAAGTGCATTCATCTAAAGAATGGGTCCAAAGGTGTTTGAACTCTGAGAAAACATGAGGTATCCTCTAGTTACCTATTCTGTTAAATGTGAAACATTTTAAATATTAAAACAATTTCACATACTTTGGTTATGTGAGAATGAGGGAGGTGAGGTAAGTTTTCTTAGCTGTTATTTTGGGTGGTGGTTTGTAATAGAAATATTTGGTTATTTGAAATCCTCTTGCTTAATTAGGCAGGTTCATACTAAATGGTTCACCAGGTTGCGTCTATAATTTTGTGGCTAAAAGTGGTTATTTTCAAGTCAATGTTTGGGGTTCCTTTTTAGAGATAAGCGTTTACTAATTCAATATTTGTAGTCAAAAGATTCATAAGAGTAATGTTGAAACAGTACTGTGTCAAATGGAATTTCTATTTCTAGGTCCTTGAGGAATCACCACACTGTCTTCCACAATGGTTGAACTAATTTACACTCCCACCAACGGTGTAAAAGTGTTCCTATTTCTCCACATCCTCTCCAGCACCTGCTGTCTCCAGATTTTTTAATGATCACCATTCTAACTGGTATGAGATGGTATCTCAATGTTGTTTTGATTTGCATTTCTCTGATGACCAGTGATGATGAGCATTTTTTCATATGTTTGTTGGCCTCATGTATGTCTTCTTTTGTAAAGTGTCTGTTCATATCCTTTGCCCACTTTTGAAAGGGCTTGTTTGTTTTTTTCTTGTAAATCTGTTTTAGTTCTTTGTAAATTCTGGATATCAGCCCTTTGTCAGATGGGTAAACTGCAAAAATTTTTTCCCATTCTGTTGGTTGCCGATTCACTCTAATGACTTTGTTTTGCTGTGCAGAAGCTGTGGAGTTTGATTAGGTCCCATTTGTCTATTTTGGCTTTTGTTGTCAATGCTTTTGGTGTTTTGGTCATGAAGTCTTTGCCTACACCTATGTCCTGAATGGTTTTTTCCTAGATTTTCTTCTAGGGTTTTTATGGTGTTAGGTCTTCTGTTTAAGTCTTTAATCCATCTGGAGTTAATTTTAGTGTAAGGTGTCAGGAAGGTGTCCAGTTTCTGCTTTCTGCACATGGCTAGCCAGTTTTCCCAACACCATTTATTAAACAGGGAATCCTTTCCTCATTGCTTGTTTTTCTCAGGTTTGTCAAAGATCAGATGGTTGTAGATATGTTGCGTTGCCTCCAAGACCTCTGTTCTGTTCCATTGGTCTATATCTCTGTTTTGGTACCAGTACCATGCTGTTTTGATTACTGTAGCCTTGTAGTATAGTTTGAAGTCCGGTAATGTGATGCCTCCCGCTTTGTTCTTTTTGCTTAGAATTGAGTTGGCTATGCGGGCTCTCTTTTGGTTCCATATGAAGTTTAAGGTGGTTTTTTCCAGTTCTGTGAAGAAGGTCATTGGTAGCTTGATGGGGATAACGTATCCAAAGGATTATAAATCATTCTACTATAAGGACACGTGCACACAAATGTTCATTGCAGCACTGTTTACAATAGCAAAGACCTGGAACCAACCCAAATGCCCATCGATGATAGACTGGACAGGGAAAATGTGGCACATATACACCATGGAATATTATGCAGACATCAAAAACAATGAGTTTGTGTCCTTTGTAGGGACATGGATGAACCTGTAAACCATCATTCTCAGCAAACTGACAGAAGAGCAGAAGATCAAACACCACATGTTCTCACTCATAGGCGGGTGTTGAACAGTGAGAACACATGGACACAGGGAGGGGAGCACTACATCCTGGGGTCAGTTGGGGGGAAATAGGGGAAGGATGGTGGGGGGTTGGGAGTTGCGGAGAGATAGCAAGGGGAGAGATGCCAGATGTAGATGATGAGGAGGAAGACAGCAAATCACACTGCCACGTGTGTACATATGCAACAATCTTGCATGTTCTTCACTTGTACCCCAAAACCTAAAATGCAATAAAATAAATAAATGGAAACAGTACTGTGTGCTTTAGAAATAATCACTGAAATCAAGAGTTGTTTTTCTAATTACAAACCTCTGACTGAGTCCTTAGCAATCTCAACTTGACAGCCAGAGAATCAAGAGATATCCTTATCTAAGAGTAGATATGTTCTACCCCTGATAATGGAAACAATTCAGAGGCTTTGAAAGTGGCAGATTTGTCGAGCTATACTCTGTGGTTAGGGACTTACTTTCTCTGGGAATGGACCAACCACCCCAAGAGTTTTGTACATGTAGTAAAGTCTAATGAACTTCATGCAAAGTGTTCTGATGTGGAGATTCACTTGTTTTTGTGTTGCTGAGAACAAGTGTTGAGCTAGTCAGTCAACCTGAAGCACCTGTGTCCCACTCCATGCAATCTCAGATCATCAATTGAAATCGTGTGACAGACAGTCTTGATGAGATGGCAGGTGTCAATCATTTTCAGATTTTTGAGACATACTTTTATTCCTTTCTTGTGCAGAGAATTAACATTATGGTGTGAATCTTTATCAGCTCAGGACTTGGCAGCACCATCACATGCTGCAGATGAGTGGCTTTAACTTCTAAAATTGTAAAGCGTGGATACAGTGCTCTTCACTACCCAAACATTCCCCTGAGGCTTCCAGAGAGAGGAGGTGTAGTTGTAGCTGGAACATAGACTGAAATTGGCGAGACTGTGTGGAGACATCTTTCTAGCAAAAAGGAAAAAGAAGTGAAGATAGAGTAATATGAACATTTTATACTTTTGAAAAGTTCTCATATACATATTCTGTTGAGTTTTATGAAAACACCTGATTAGATATAAAGAAAAATGAGAAACAGACTTCAGAAGGTGTTTTGGAGACAGACTTCCGGTTGCTACTCCGGTGTTTCATAGATGGAGCTGGATCATTCCATTGTCATTGCTGCCCTCGCTTACCCTGTAGTAGCTCCTGTTGGCATTAAGCATTCCTGTGTGAGATGGGCTGCACCACTCAGAGAAAGCCAAGGTGTGTGGTGGAATCGCTGTAATCACCTGAATCGAGTTGCCCTTATGTGAGACCAGTGCATCCCAGTTTACCCAGGACATTTCCTGTTTTAGCAGTTAGAGTCTCATGTCCCAGGGCCCCTCTCTTTGCTGGGATAGTTGGCCACATTGCCTCCACCTTGCACAGACTTACCAATTGTGTAGCCCTCAACCCCTGAAGGAATGGCAGGCCAGGCTCTGAACTGTGCATAAGGGTGAGGAGAAGGAAGCATTGAAATCACGGGTGAGTGGTAAAAAAAAACAAGAGAGAGAAATAAGAGAAGTTTATTACATTCAAAAAGTTTATTACCTTCAAAAAGTTCTTTTAAAGGCTTTAATCTCACTCTGATTATGTTGCTGGCTTAAACTTATTGCTTTTTAAGAAAATGGTGGTGATTTAACAAAATGTATATTTGGAAAAATTAAAATCTGGTATTATTACAGGCATATCCTCAGAGATAGTGCAGGTTAGATTCTAGATGACCACCGTAAAGCAAATACAGCAAGAAAGTGAAGCATATGCGTGTTTTGGTTTCTCATTGCATTTAAAAGTTATGTTGACACGGTACTGTAGTCTATTAATTATGCAATAGCATTTTGTCTCAAAAGCAATGTACAGGTCGAGTGTGGTGGCTCATGGCTATAACACCAGCACTTTGGGAGGCTGAGGCACGCAGATCACCTGAGGTCAGGAGTTTGAGACCAGCTTGCCTAACAGTGAAACCCTGTCTCTACTAAAAATACAAAAATAAAACTAAAAATAAATTAGCCAGCTATGGTGCTGTGCACCTATAATCCCAGATACTCAGGAGACTGAGGCAGGAAAATCACTTGAACCAAGGAGATGGAGATTGCAGTGAGCTGAGATCATACCACTGCACTCCAGCCTGGGTGACAGAGCAAGACTCTTGTCTCAAAACAAAAACAAAAAAGAATACACTTTCTTTGCTCATCCATAAGAAGCAACTCCTCATCCATTGAAGTAATGAGATTGAAGCAATTTGGTCAAATCTTCAGCCTGCACGTCTAGTTCTGGTTCTCTTGTTATTTCTACCCCATCTGCAATGGCTTCCTCCACTCAAGTCTTGAAAGGTGGAATCAATTTCTTATAATTCCTGTTTATGTTAATATTTTGACCTCCTCCCATGAATCATGAATGTTGTTAGAGCACCTAGGATGAGGAATCCTTCCCAGAAGGTTTTCAAAGACCTTTGCCAAGCTCTATAAGAAGACTCAATATCTATGGCAGCCATAGCCTTATGAAATATATTTCTTAAATAATAAGACTTGAAAGTTAAAATTACTCCTTAATCCATGGGCTACAGAATGGATGTTAAGTTAGTAGGCATGAAAGCAAAATTAATCTTCTTGTACATCTTTTAGGTGATCAGTTGCATTGTCAATAAGCAATAATATTCTGAGCAGGAGTTCTCAACAGTGCACTTAAAATATTCAGTAAAACACACTGTAAACAGATGTGCTGTCATCTAGGCATTTTTCCCATTTATAGAGCATGGCCCTAGCAATGGATTTTAATGGAAGTTAGCCTGGGGTTAAGCTTAAAGTCACTAGCTGCATTTGCCCCTAATAAGATAATCAGCCTGTCCTTGGAAACTTTGAAGCGTGCATTGACTTTTCCTCTCTAGCTATGAAAGTCCCAGATGGCACCTTCTTGCAATAGAAGGCTGTTTTCTCTACACTGAGTATCTGTTGTTTGGTGTAGCCGCCTTCAGCAACAATCTTAGCTAGATACTCTGGTTAACTCGCTACAGCTTCTACATCAGCTTTTGCTTCACTACTTTTACATGATGGAGGCAGTTTCTTTCCTTAAACCTCATGAATTGACCTCCAAACTTGTCTTTGGCAGCTTACTCATCTCTGTCAGCCTTCATAGAATTGAAGGCAGTTGGGGCCTTGCTTTAGATTAGGCTTTGGCTTAAGGGAATGTTCTGGCTGGTTTGATCCTGTATCCAGATAACTCAAATTTTCTCCATATCAGCAATATGGCTGTTTGCTTTCATTTCATTTTGTTTGTGTGTGCACCAGAGTAGCACATTTACTTCCTTGATGTAGCTTTCTTTGCATTCACAATTTGGCTAAGTGGTCGGTGCTATCAACCTGGTGCAATGCCCGTCTCAGCTTTCAACATGCCTCCCTCATCGAGCTTCATCATTTCTAGCTTTTGATTTAAAATGAGAGACATGCGACCCTTCCTTTCACCAGAACACTTAGGTGCCGTTGTAGCATTATGAATTGGCCTAATACAATATAGTTGCGTCCCAGGGTGTAGGGAGGCCCATCTGAGCAGGTGGAGAGAGAGAGTGTAACAGGCAGTTGGTGTAGCAGTCAAAACACATGTAACATTTATAAGCTCACTTCTTTATATAGGCAAGTTTTGTGATGCCCCAAAACAATACAATATTAATGTCAATGATTATTGATCATAGCACAATAGCAGATATAATAATAATGGAAACATTTGAAATATTATATGAATTACCAAAATGAGATACAGAGACATAAAGTGAGCATGTGGCTGTTGGCAAAATGTCTCCTGTGAACTCGCTTGATGCAGGGTCACCTT